AGCTGCACCTGGTCATTTCAGGCATGATAGTTGCTATAGTTGCAATGATCTCATTTTTCAAGTGTTGTAGATCAGCGTTTCTCAACCATCGGTCCACGGAGAATTTTTACTGTTCTGTGTTAAAAAAACTTTCTTTTTGTCAGGGGTTTGTATTTCTTAATAATTACAATTAAAAACTATACTTTTAGTAAATACTATTAATTTAATTTTTTAGTAATCATAAGATTGATTTTTTTTATTCTGTCGTATATGCAATGTTTTTGTGATATCACAGTTTTCTGTGATTTTTGTCAAAGATTTATGTATATAAAATAATAATAATTTTACAATTTACTTCTGTAGTAATTCTTTAATATCTAGTAAAAGTTTTTGTTAAAACACCACCGGTCCGCAAAATGTTTTTTCGCAAATTTTACCGGTTTGCGGGCCATAAAAGGTTGAGAAATGCCATCGTAGATTACAAATCTTCTCTACATACACTGTTCTTAATGTAGTTTCAAAAAGAAAGTCTAGAGGAATTAGATCAGAGCTTCTTGCTGACCTCCTAGGAAACAGGATAATCTCTCCTAATTTAATGATCAGTCTATCTTGAACATTGTGACTGTAATAGGGTGATGCACCATCATGCTGAAGGATGAAGGCTATCCCAAAGGAAATCTCAATATTTTTACACAATTCAATATAGCAATCAGAGATTGACTGATAATCACCTAATATATTTGACACTTTTAAAAATGCAACTTAGTGACAGTGTTTCTGATATGTTTGTATTTGATTCAAATACTTTCCTTATAATTAAGAATTGGAGTAAAATTGGGGAAATTAAACTTTTTCAGTTTAATCAAGTTTAAATAAGATAATGTGTAAATTGAGAGAGGTGAAAACTGCTTTAAGAAAAACTTCACAATATATTTCACTGAAATTAAATTGCTTCCTAACAAATTTGATTAAATTCATGTTTGAAAAGTTTCAAAAACTTTTTTAAACCTTTAAAAACTCACTAAAACTTCAAGGTAATAGAAATAATTGCTATATCTGGTTTTTCTTGGAGGTCACTATCCAATCAGTTTACTGACAATTGACATGTTTAAATTTATGGCTGGTTGTGAATGTTTGTTTGAAAGAAATGTATACCATTTTCATATATTGGTTAAACAAAGTATTGACTTTTTTTCTTTCCTTCAAATTTTCTTGGTGTGTATAATTGTAAAATATAATAGAGTTGGTTATGTTATGATAATGATAACTTATCATTTCTGTTTGTTTCCTGACACACTGTATTTTTTTATTTATTTTTTTTCAAAACATTTTCTTGTGTTGTATAGTTTTAAAACTTAGTACTCATGATTTTAAACTATAACTACTTGTAAAACATAGTAACAAAGGACATCAGTTTTTAAAAGATGATGATTGTCATTTTATTGTAATAAACAAATATAACTTTTTTTGTCGTTTTTGAACACTATACAGTTCATACACAGGACACAAGTCAATCTTCATTGTAAATTTATTCAATTTTTAGTCGACTAAAAATCGAATAAATTTACAATGAAGATTGACTTGTGTTCTGTGTATGAACTGTATAGTGTTCAAAAACGATAAAAATAACCACCAACACGGTTTCAAACTGTATAATATCATTGTTAAATCTTTGGGAGAAAAATTCAATTACAAAAACATTAATAATAGTAATGTATTTATTATATTAGTATATTGTTTACAGCATCAATTTGAATTGGTTAGAAAAGATTAAAAAAAATTAGTGTTGTTATATTTATATATATATATATATATTTCTTTATTTTAATTTTTATTCACTGCTTTTTGCTTTCTTTCCTTCACTTCCACTAGCACTTTCATTGGACAGAGGTTGCTTGGTAAAATATCTATCCAAAGAGGTTTGGCTTTGCCTACTTTTTAAAATGTTTCTAAAATGACTTAGGCAAATGTCATTACTCCGAGCAACAATACGGCCAGTGTGAACCTTTTCGGGATGTTTCTTTTCAATAAAATCAGTCACTTTCTGATAATACCTAAAGATTTCTTTTATCGAGCGAGATCCTTCCACGACGATGCAAACGCGGGCTGAGACCAATGAACAGAAGTGAATAAAAAATGGCGCTGCGAACTAATGTAACATCGTATGGTTCGTATCGTGGAGCAAAAATATGATCGAATTTCGTGTCGTATCCTGAAAATTTCGTTTGCTGGGGCGTTCGTATCCCGAGGTACCACTGTATTTATTATATATTTGTTATTGAAGAAGGTTGGGCGTGTTTATAATTTTGAAACGGACTGTATATTTTTGTCTTTGTAAAAAGCGAACGGGATATATTTGCCTTGTTTAAGAATATTGGAAAATATTTGACCCAAAAAAATCTCTTGATAGATTTGTTGTGAATTTGTGATATTATCAATGGTCAGACTTTGAAATTTTTGATGATTTTAAAATCAGTTTGACAAATTGGCAACCGTAATTAATGAATTGCTCAAAACAAGCATTTTTCTGTTTGTTTAGAATATTTTAAAATGAATTTAATTGGCTGTTTTTAAAATTTCAGAACACGAGATTCCAATTGATGTGGAACAGCTGAATGAAGCTGCAGTCTATAGGAATGAGGTCAGTATAATAATAAAAAAAATCTAACAAGATTTATAAATGATAGATAAATTTGATTTAAATACATTCAACTTAAAAATTTTTAATTTCAATTAACTTGCAATCAGATAGCAAAGTATCAATATTAAAAAGACACGCCTTTTGTAGAGAATACCTACAACATCAAATTAATTAATTTTTGGCATTTTTCCAAGGCCATTTTAGTCCAACCCGAAAAATGTGGTCTTCTAGGCATTTAAGAATTACTTTTATAAACGGTTTAACCCGGATAGAACAGTTTTCCGTGCGATTTAATTAATATTAACGAAAACTTATATACCATTGTGTCGGTTATTGGAAATGCCAATATGGTTGATTTGAAAGAAAATAAAAAAATATTGTACTGCGAATAATAATCCTAAATCATTGGTGAAAACAAAAAGTTGCTTTGAAAATTCTTAGTTTCCAGTTTTTTATTTGTAATAGCAGGTTGAAGAATAACTATTATGTGCTTTTATTTGTAGGAATGCTTCGAAGCATTAGACTCTTCGCGGTGGTTACCTTCCGAAGCGCTGGATATATCTCTAGTTCCTGTAAAATAATAATAAAATGATATTTTAAGTGTGGAAATATGTAAAATAAAATACTTTTATCCTCAGTAATTTAGGCTTTTTAATGAAAAACAAATGTTTATAATTGTCAACAAATTTGATAAAATTGTAAATAACATGTGTGTCCTTGATTACTTTTGCCATCTACTGGAAAACCTTGAACTTTTTTCTTTATTATCTTTGATTACTTACATAATTTAATTTAGAAATCTGACCACAGTAATCAGATTACTTTTTATTAAAATTTATCAAATTATATTTTCAATGTTTAACGAGTTTAATTGTTGGCTTATAATTAAATATATGTAATCAGCAGATTTCATTTGTAAACGTGCATATTTTTAAGTCTGTTGTAATAATAATATAATTTTTTAAGACGTAAACATGTTTTTGTAACGTTTTAATTTTTAACCAGAAATATTTCTTAATGGATGCAGTTGGATAAACAGCGTGTCAATAATTAAATACAATATTTAAGAAGAAAGTAAGGAAAAGCTATCTTACAGATTTTGAATAAAAATAGCTTCTACTGGATAAATGAAAATACAAATGGTTATATAATTTAAACTTTTTTGTGACCAAGTTAAATATTTTCAAGTTTCATTTTTCTGCTGTTATATATAAAAGTAAATAGTTTACGTGGCAATTAACAACTTCCTCTTACAGGCAATGAAATCAAAATTGCTTTCAATATTAAATTCTAATTTAGATTAGATATATTTTGTATACAAATTATATAATCAATTCTATAGATAATGGCAGTAACTATGAGCAAATAGAAATTATTTATCAAATTTACTGAATATTGTAGTAAGTTTAGTAGATTTTCATACAGTAGGATTATATCAAAATTTTTATTGGTAAACGAACGTAATGAAAATAAAATAGATTTTCAGTTTTTACAAACTTGTAAGGCAATTAAAAATTTCCAAACTTAAATGACACTAACCAGTTATAACAAGACAGGAGAATAATATTTAGCGATTTGTTTACGCGTAAAAGTAGTGTTTTCGTTATCCAAAAATTTCACAATTATAAAATATTAAACCGTAAATATAGAAAATAAGTAACACTTAATGTCGGTTAGTTTACAATTATTTAATTTTAATAGGTTATATTTGATAGCGTATGATATGGTATCTTGACAGTAGCGAACATCTCGTTGATATATTATGTAAACAATACGGTCGAGAGGTTAAGCTTTTCTTTTTTGTCTTTATTGCCCCAACGACACCACCCACACTTCCGTAAACATTTATCATCTTACCGCATTCCCTAGGGAACGTACTGTAACAACTTGTTACGCGCCCGTTTAGGTTACACATTTTTTCAACCACCATAAATCTTAATTTTCCCCCCTCTCCACATAACTTATTGAATGTGTTGGTAAGAATAACTGCACTCCATCTCCAATGTCGATAGATTTTCACGTAGCCATTAATGTTATCTTTTTTAAAGAATCGACTGACCTAATTTCTGTAATCCTTCACATCTGCCGATTTCTCCATTAAAAAGTCATATCTACACATTTACTATCAAAAGTTTGTAAAGTTTTACACATTGTTATAAAAGAAAACGTGAGATGACAGCATAAGGCATTCCTCTAAACTAGATTAAAACTAATTGAAGGTTGATAAAAATCCCCGGAACGTTTGTGTTTATTTAGAATGCCAAACGAGTTGTAACGATATCTAGGCGCGAACCTAGCAACTACTGCAATGTAAATAAAGTCTTGTCGGGCCCGTGTGATTTTCTCTTCTTTATAGCATGGCGGATATAAAAAATTACAATACGTAATTTTTTTAAGGAAAGATACGAAATAATGGACGTGCCAATTGGTTTCCTGCAAACGAAGGACATTACAGCAACAATAAAGCCAGAGTTAACTGTCGGTATTTTCATCTTTAAATTGAAACGATAGAAATCACAATATGTTGTTTTCAATAGAAGTAGCCTATTTAGAAAACATCTTTTCATTAGCATTGGCATTCCATTAGATGGTAGGTAAAAATTGCCAAATGTAATAGGAAAATATAAGTTACCACTTTGACTTTTTTATTGATGCGAAAATCTTTACCCTTTATGAGCGTGGAAGAACAAAAATATTAATAAAGGATCAGAAAGTACTTTTATTTTAAAACGGTCTACTTCACTATTCGTTTTTCGTTAACCTCCGATAAAGTGTCGCCAGGTGGGCTAGAAATATGTATTAATCCTAAGTAAATGTATGTCATAAAATACTTTTATAGACAATAACCACGAATAATTTTTATAATTAAATTACTGCATTAATAACTTACAATCTTGATAGGAATTATCAGCATAACTTTCATTAAATAAATCTAATATTGACGGTTGGGTTAAAGACGAAGAACTTAGGTTGGTAAATTGTCCATAGATTTGAATTTGCGTACGGAAAAGTTTTTGATATTTACGAGAACGTTGGGACAAAAATCTCGTCGAGTTTAGATAAAAATCGGATTGAATTATAGGATATAAAAAGGGGAAATTAACTCTTCCATCCTGAAAGGAATTACGATCTAATATTGAGAATGACAGCCAGCCAGTTATATCATCAAAATCTCATTATTAATGACATAACAAGAGATCAATAAATAGTCGGTCAACAAGCGATAAATTTTTATATTATACGAAATGTTCCATATAATTTAGTAAGAAATATGGAAAAATATAAATTATTTTTATTACTAAGAAATGCTCGCCGTAAATAATGTACAATTTATAAGATCTTGTTTACTAAAAAGCGGCCTACTGGAATTAATTATCGCTCGCTCTTTTTCCTGTAAAAAAGTTAATAATTACTGCTCAATAGTCAGCGCTGTACCAAGTCGCTCTTCTAATTACAGACGCAAATCGAATTGTTTCTACGAGAAACGAATTCCCAAAAGTTGCAATCGAATTGCCTGATTTTCTTTTCCCAAAGACTCGCTGCTAGAACTAACGATTCGTATCCGCAAATCTTACTCGTCCTAAGTGTACAGGAGGAACACCGCTCGTAGCCTATCTATGAATTAAGCGCTTTAATGAACATTTCGCCGTCCAACGACGAAAAACGATAATAGATTTTCTAAGGAAATTTCAAAATCGTTGCCAATAACGTATTAAATGCATTGATTGCGGCAGGTTGGTAATAGTCGGACTTAAATTGGCAATTCGATTTCGATCGGAAACATTTGGTGCCGTCGTTAGCATCTTTGCCTATTTGCCACCACCGACCAAATAACGGCTCTTAACACGACTACGGACTAATGTCATTCGGTGATTGGGCCGAAATCTGCTTTTTTCTTTATATTAGCGCATTTACCAAAATGCACTCGGGTTTTCCAACGGGTCTATTAAATGCTAATTAATAATGACGTACGAACGAGTAACCTAAACCTTCCTAACCCGAATTCTCATCCCAGTTTATCTAGTTTAATAGAGCTAATCCACTTTTAAATATGGAGCGCGATAATGACCGAAGTTTGAAAAATTTCTGATTATCTCAATAGTAATAAATGCTTGGAATTTAATGATTTTTCGTATAATTTATTAAAATACAAGTTGTACTTAATCAAAATTGAAGAACCCATCAAATTAGTTGTTACGTTTCTCTTAAAATCTACATTAAACTTATAAGGATGCGTTTAAAAATTGCTTTTCAAATGCTGCCATTGATATATTAAATGTTAACTGACTTTTGCCCATCGTTTTTATAACAATATGTGTACGTAATGGAATCATTGGTATTGTATCCGAAGCGCAATGCGGTAAGAGATACAAGATTTTTCTATTTACAGATATTTTAACATTTTAATTAGACGTGTCTGGCAAAAATAAATATATACATTTAAGTTTAATTAAAAAGCAAGAAGCACTAATAATTAAAATCATTTGTGCACATATTTAATGGAAATACTTTGAAAATTTAATATCATTGCTGTAACGATTAAGTTTATTTTGTTCATCAAATTTTCATCTACAAATATACGGTGTCTTTTCGTTTTTAATTAATTATATTAATTCGATATTAAATGTCTACGATATCTTCGCTAGACGTTGGTTTAGGTACAGTTATTGGTAGAATTTTTAGGCAAAACTCGGCTTTCTTTGGGGAAGAAAGTATAAAACAACGGCATTTATTAGAGCGCGGATGTTAAGTAAAACGTTACGATTGGACAAGCGAGTCATTGACATTATTAATGGAATCGTCGTGTTACGTTTCGGTAATTGCTCGAAACTTTTATCTTAATTGCCAACGATCTCTCGAACGTGTTTTTAATTTTATATCACCAGACACGCGTTTAAACTGTTGTAAAATTGAAAGGGAGCAAATTCAAAAGGTCGATCTTAACGGTCTTTAACAATATTAACCATTAATCTTTCTTCTTTTGTACCAATCGTATTAAAATATATAATATAATGGTAGAATTAATCATCGATACGACCATACAAAATCTTCAAAAACATTCATTTTAAATAGTAAAAACGCTAAATTATTTACGCGTCTTTTTCATTTCTTATAATTCAAATTATACCGCCACGTATTCTGTTTGCAATTGTTTTTATAATTTAATGCCAATTAAGCTAAATAAACATACAGATTTCGCTAGTTATTTAATTACAAACCAAAAAATTTATGGCTAAAATGTACACTGACCTATACACGTAAATATAATGTACTGTACGTTTAACCATAAATTTTCAGTTTGTAACAAAATAACTTTGATCAATCTTATATGTTACTTACGTCGCTTAATTGGCACTAAATTATAAAAATAAATAAATGTATGTATACGTGGACGTACGAGTGGGGAAGCAACGAGAGAAATTCGGGAAAAGCGAAAAGATCCACCGTCCATTAATTATCGAATCATAACATACATTTTTCAGTCGTGTACAACCATGTACTTTTAGCCAACCTTTTATTGGGCCGCAATTTGAAAAAAATCATAGACCTATAAATGCCGTCTTTCCTTAATCCCGGGAACGGAGTTGTATGGATGAAAGAGAAGACCGGATACGGAAACCTTCCCCCGAAAGCAGTCGATAGACGTTACAGTACTAATTTGAGGTGGAGAGCGTATATTTTAAATTGCGTTCAATTCGAAATACAAAATACGTCCAAGCTATATTAATATGAATAATAAAATAAGGCGATATTTAGTATAGTTATTTTGTATTTTGAGTTTATAATGTGCGAAAGTTGCATTTGTCACCCGATGATGGCCTGTTATTTTAAATGAAATAAATGAAAAATTTCAGCCGTTGCCGGTTACGTGTAGAATAGTCGACGGACCAACTGACGCAGTAAGTAGGTTTATAAGAAGAAATTCGTATGGCACCGATAACACTAAAAACATTGCCGGAAAATGATGATAATTCCTACGAGTCCGGAACATTTTTAACGTTTATTTTGGCATTAGTGCTTTCGACATTTTATATTATATTTAACCACGTATCTGATTCATTTGCCAGTGTTTACTTTTTCTCATCAAATTGTTTTTACATTATTTCGCACGGTTTATTATCGTTACGATTGTGTGTCCAAGTCTTTTTTACTTTTTTGTATTATTCATTTACTATTATATTATTTGGAATTTCTTATTTATAGTCTTATCATTTTTCATTTCTAAAGTTACTTTATAAAACAATTATGTTTGTTTCCATTATATCTGTAACAAATGTTGGAATTTATATATTGAAAAATTATCCACTGATTCTCGATTAAAATAGGAAGTTTAACGCGTTTACGATTGGAGAAGAAATGAAGTTACAAACCGATTTCTTCAAAATCTAGTATTAAGAACAAATGTCATCTAAGAGTGCGCTGAAAGTTATTTAAATGTTGCATTTGCGTATATTGGTAATACGGGTGCTCCCGATTTAATGTGTTTCGTGTAATAAAACACTAGCGAACAGTTCTTTGGTCCCGGTTAACTTGGTAGACACTTGGAACGAAACACGCCGTTTACGAAGGAAAATCCTGCCCTACCCGACAGTCTCGCCAATACATAAAAGAATTGTTTTGTCAGAAAAGTAAAAGGCTGGAATTACAAGGGAGAGCTTCAAAGTTCGGAGGAATACTATCCGATCGGTGTATACCGGCTTGAGCGTCGATGTCGACGTTTTCCACATTCCGAATTGTTGCCGGAAGACGAGGGAAGACCAATCGCTATTCATTATTTTACGTCGCTTCTTCTCGTGTTCGTTGTCCGATCTGTTCGTTATCCGATCCGTTCGCTAACCGATCACCCACTGTATATACTGTACTGTACATTTGTTAATGAGACGGCGCGACTGGATACAGATTCAGAAAACATCGAAGCCATTAAGAAGGTAATTTTACCTCATATATACGCTAGTTTATTTTGCTATTTTTGTGTTTTGCTTTAAATAATTAACATTTGAGAATAAATATTTGGTTTTTCTTAACGCTTAGATTTTCTTATTTATTTTATTTCTACCTTCGTGTACTGTACAAAACGGACAAGGTGTTCGAATTTATCGAGTGTTCCATCGTAGGAAAAGTTTGCGAAACGCCGATATAGACTGCCTCCGTTCCTCAAACTCCACACGTAAGTAATCGACAGTCCCCTAACAAATCGGTGACGGACACTAAAAATTGATACTTGTGTTTGTATTTGTGTAAAATCAACCCCTTCCGCCCTGGTAAACAGTCCTCAAACGCCAATGGCATACATAGCCTATATATGTATAATGTGTGTGTGGGTGGATGTATTAATATATAAAAAGAAGATAGATTGGATAATATAAAATTAAGTACAGTATAGGAAAACTAGAATATATTAAAGTATAAATATTTAAAAGAGAAAATGAATTTAGTTACTTGGAAATTATAACAGATAGAAAGGTGGATTATTTTGTTATAAAATTTCCTAGGCATTAGCCTAGTTGCGGTTTAAATTTATTGCATCGACGTTAGAGCCAAGGGTTTAATTATTTGCCGATATACTGTATTAAAAAGCTGGAAATTAATCTCGAGCCTTTTTTAATATTTATTCATCGAAACGATGGCCTTAATTATGCGAGATAAAGTCAAGACTGGTCTTAAGTAACAAACGGTAACGGATATTCGATTGTTAATGAATTCTTCCGACGAAATGTTTTAGTAAAAATAATTAATAATTCATAAGAAAATAATTCCAATTCTGCTCGGTGTAAAGGATAAATTTCTAACGAATCTTATCGTTACGTCGAGATAATAATTAATAAAATGCAATGGAAATTTGTAATTTATTACTTTCCGATACGGCCCCGAACACGTAATTTTATGTATTTTAATTGGGAAACATAATTTACGTTTATTATTTTCTTGGAAGTAAGGTTTTTAAAGGCGATATTACTATATGCAAAAACGTTTGGATAAAGCGACAACTTAAATACTCGACGATATTATTAGTAATAGCCTTATTACGAGACAGAATTTGATGGGGAAGAGAGCCGGTCTGGTGTCACAACCAGCAATTTGAGTAGATTTAGGCCCATACGTCACAGTGTCAGTACCATTGGTGGGATACGCAATCCCACTAAATGATCATATATTACCGTAAAAACTGTGTTTAAATATCTCGTTCCTTTAAGAAAACTTAATTTACAAAGTGGTCGAGTTGGCAATTAAATGTTTGAGTAATCCTCGGCATAAATTGTCAAATAAAAATTTCAAAAAGTGCGACTTTGGCTTTCGTCTAATTAACATAACCCGAAATTTGAAAAAGAAATTGTCGTCTTTTGTTTTTGCCCGAAACAAAATTGAAGAAGGAGTTTATCCTTTTTTAAAAAACAAATGTAAAAAGTTTCTGCTTTGGCACTAATCCTCTTTAATATTTATATATTTTATTAAAAATATAAAATGTATAAACTCGTACGATCGAAACGTGTGATCATAATTTATTTTCGCCAGGAAAATATACGTGTATCGTAATTAATAATAAGGTTAGAATAGGGAAATTTCTGTCGAAATTAATAAGGAAATTTACGCCGAAATGATAACATTTTTAACTCATAAATTTAAATTTCGAAACTGTTATCCTTGAGCCTTTCGTTATATTTTCGGCCATCGTCATATACGACTGTCACGTCTTTTGTTTTGACAATACATTATCTGGTTGGATATCCGTCCATCCGCGGTATCCTGTTTTCTTACTTCTATCCCAAGAATAGCCAAAGTAAAAGATAAGCGCATCCATTATATACTTTGACATCTATTTTATTTCCTCTAAGGAATACGCAGAAAAATTAAAATATAACATAATTAAAAGTACCAAAAAAATATTTAAAGGGCCCGCCGGTGCACATATAAGCTAATGAAGCTAGGGCTTAGGGCCTCGTTTTATTCTCAAAGCAGTTTATTCGGCCGAGAAGGAGGAGTTTCTTGCGCGTTGTCGGCATAGGGCCGTAACAATTCTAAATTCGGCTCTGGATCCACCATTATTATATGATATTGTTAGGAATTTTTATTTAGTTTCGGCACAACCGGGGATAAGATAATGGCCTTAGCTTTGATTAAGCGAAGGAGGCCTCGATTTATGCTGGCTTTTTGTCATAAAGACGTAAGAAGAATTATTAGTCGATATAACTCGATATATTCTATAAATATGACTAACGAATGATACTCGCGACATTTATTAAAGTTTAAAGATAATATCCGCAATTATTTTTTCATTTCTCGTTGAGAAAAGATGAATTTCGTGGCTTTTGACTGAGAATTAACTAATATTTTAATTGTTATTGTATTGGGCGTTGGTATCGAAGATCGTTAAGTTTTAACAATAAATGACAGAGAAGTTTTTAAAAAAATTTAATAGTTTTATATGATAAATAACTATGCAGTTGGTCGTTATTTAAAGAGTTATAATCTTGTTGCATACAGCGAGAGGTTAGACTTGTCGCAATTTACTAGTTGACAGAGCTTGCCAGTAGTTATATATTAGTTATACGAGTTCATTTGTTAATTTAATGCCGGTTATACTTTTAGTCATATTCCAGCACGCGGTTGTCCGATACGAGGATACTGCGGACGGAGACAGGAGAATTGAATGGGTTTTCTATAAGTTTAATAAATGTAAATTTAAGAATTTCAAGTGGCAGGAAAAGAATAGACGAGTCTTTTCTAACGGCAAACGAAAGTCACGATTGGAGGGCGTGGTTATTAGACATCAATTCTTGGTCCTTGTCTCGCCAGCTGTTCTTAGTTCCTTTTCTGTCTCCATTCTCTACAACTCGTTAATAGATCGTAATTGTCTGCGCCGATTTATCCATTAATTTCCAATCATAATAACTCGGGTTATCTTTCGAAAAATGATGGAATACGTCTTTGCTCTTTTTTGGCCGCAACACTTTTAAAACGTTAGGTACTGTACAGAGGCGATTGAACTCTGCAATAAAACAATGTATGCCGAATGAGTCACACGCTAAACGTCTGTTGCTCGTCCAGGGGAATATTTATAGGTGGATACACGTGATTTTTTCAACCAGCGACACCTGGGAGTCCAGACAGATACGACGTTCGCGTGATTTTTTCGAATCCCGAGGTTCGGACCAGAAGAGGTCGGTGATCCCCGTCGTCACGTGATCCTACAACTAGATTCCCTGAATGCGCGGTGTGTATTTAGAGATGTAAAAAGTCAAAAACCGGAATACGTAAAACCAGTTCTGGTTTTTTTCCAATGGTTCGCACCTGGTTGGGGTGATCTATGTATTCACATAACGTACGCTATAAATCAGTGGCGAGTCAATATCCTATTTATAGAATTGATAGTAGCAGATTAACCATTCTTCCACGAATTATTCTCTTTAATGTAACCGTCCTTGTGAGATATTCGGGTTTTCAAACGCCACATCTTCGTTTATTGCAATCAATGCACATTTATTTGTTTATTTATTCTTTCGTCTTTATCAATGTAATACGGGATTGCGAGTGTCGTTTGCCACCGGCTTTTCCTGCTTCCCATTCGCAACACGACTCGTTTAGCGCCGTAGAAACTTGTAAGAATTCTTAATAAAGGGATGCGAAGAATATGTGGATGAGGTAAGCGTTACGCGACATTCGATATCGTACGGCTCCAATAAGTAAGATGTATGAATAGAAGACAAATTATGCCTTTATCTAAATAAATCCTCTTTAAAGTTGTCATAAAATGTAACTTCTGGAGCATAGTAACAGCGCATTGAATACTTGTCGTTTGGCACTTTTCCAGACACTAACAATGCACTCTGCCAGCTTAACTGAGAATGCGAAATGTTCCCAAAGAATCTTTAATTAGAAAGATGACTCTGGCATAAATATTTACGTTAAAATATCCAAAGTAATGCCATTATTTTCCATGTTTTTCCAATAGGGAGGGAGAAATAATTAGAGAAAAGTAAAAGAAATTTGGATGGAAGGTCGAATTGACAGTCCACTGTCACGGATCTAGGTTAATTGCGTTAGATACGGTCGAACAATACCTCTAACGTTCTCCTTAAATCGCTTATTTTCTGATTCATTTTCCGTCCAAAGAAGCTGCAATGATAAACGCTTTTCTGTATTGTAGTGGAAGAAGATGAAAATTCTTAGTGCGACCGTCGTTAACTAGATGGAGACACTAGCGAGTTCGCTAAACTCTCTTATTTTAGCGCCGTTTCCTTATAAATACTCGCATCCGACCTTTAAAAGAAACTGCAACGATTCCTGCTATTTTCACCAGTTAGCATCCACCTAACATAACTAGAAACCATGCGTATTTCCGTCTTTCGTCCGACTTTAACCAATGGAAATACGCTTTTAAAAAGCAAATAGCCATTTTAAAGGCGGAAAAATATTAATAACCAGGCACAAATAGTTCAAGGCTACGGACGAAAATATCCTTCGCATCACTTTTAATCGATGTGTTATCACGCTCGAATTTCTAGTGGCATAGAATAAATGGCAGAGACGACGATTGAATAAGCAAAATCCATCGGGTAAAGGTGAAACGTCGAAGGAAGAAGGAGAAGAAAAAATCCAGGGGTTAAAGATATATTCCTAATAAGACGGTTGCGGCTCAACAGGAAATTTTAACGACGTAACATCGAAAACCACTACGAAGTGCCAGACAGTCGCGAGCAACTTTGCCAACATAACTCCAAAAGTACTTTAATCAATACGTTAGTCTGTGTGTTTGCGACTGGTGCGCAGACGTTTGTCTGCACTTTCACTCGTCTATTTTCGAATTTATAAGACATTTTCTAATATACAGATTGAACTAAAGCAAAATTTCCAGTTTAACGCGCTTAAAATAGCGGGTTTTTAATTCGAAATTCATTTAAATTGCTTATATTTAAAGTCAAACTTCACTGGCCGCTGTCAGTACGCCATTTGTACTGAAACTAATTAGGCCGGAGCCAACAAAGATTTGTTTACACAATTATGAATAATATATACGTATCGATAGTCTCGTACGATCTTGGGAAATTGTAACGTTAGTAAGGATGTCTGACCGATAATTTACTCTTCGATTTTTATATATATCTTTCTAAGAAACCTTCATCTGTCATCTCACGTAATATCTATCGTATTTATTGGATAAAACAGAACGGAAAGAGTGTTTACTTTTGTCATCTTACCAAGCCTCTAATTCTTAGAAAGTATAAGCCAAAACAGGAACTGGATGTTTCCTGACTCGGATGGAAAGATTCTTTTTCTCTGCCATTTTCTTTTTTTTAACTTTGACCTTGTACAACTAGATTGATAACCCCGAAAAAAACCATTGTTTTGTTGCGCCTAGCATCCGACTGAATGATTTTAATGTTGCATAAATTATCGATACCAGAATTTTGGCCATCACGTCCGACAAACTCTTACTAAACTTCTATTCTTAAATGTATAAAATATTAATTTAGAGTAATATAAGTTTTACCTGCTTGTCTCGGGTTACGTATATCTTTTATAGCAACGTATAGAGGAATATCTCCTAGTCGATAGATTTTCTCTTATCTTTAGTAATAATCCTGCAGTTATCTTGGAAGAAACTCATATCCTCTGGATATAGAAGGATACGTTTTTAGCAGGATGTGAGTCTCTATCCTGACAGCAATATCTTTGTGGTGCGCTTTCGTTTCTCTATAAAGATATATCCTGTGGGTGTGTCTCGTCAATCTATACTTTTCCAATTCTCTTTAAAATCTCTAGTAGAATAAAAGTGGCCAGATATCTTTGAAGATATACCGAATGTAAGGGATGATAAGATAATACTAATCCTGTGAAATCAGAAAACTATTACAATCTGGATGCATTAATTGCTATTAGTTGAAGAGTTTCCCGTTAAAATTGAAACTTTTCTTGTAGAGTTTATAAGTCACACGCCATGGCAAGAAAGGATGGTAATTGTTAATTATGTATATAATTAGTATCGGAAAACAGTAAGACGATGCCGCTTAAACAGAGTTTGGGATCAATTTATATTCCATAAAAAATGTTATACAATGTTAAAAACGAAAATTTCTCAACATCGGACACTTTTTTTAAGATCATAAACAGAAAAATCTGTCCAAATAGTGAGACGTCTCGACAGAAGACGGCCAATGTTGGACGTTGGAGCACCTTATCCCCTAAATGCCAATGTCAGAAATGTAGAAGAGTCAAAAATTCAGTCGGGATGTGGGCGCATTAGCTGTCAATTAGGCATCGTGATCATCAAAGAATGGTAAGGGGGGAGATAAGATGCTGTCTCAACAGAGGACATTGATTTGTGTAAGTGCAGAAGTTGGATGTCCGATCCGTCATCAAATTAACTCGGCAGGCTGTACAGCCTCAGTCATTTGGTATCTGGCTCGCTTCCAAGCGTCGATTCACAATAATAATAGCATCGAAACTCGTTCCAGTTTTCCAATTCTTTTTTCTATTTTTGGATGACAACTAGTTGAATAGTTGGAGATTTTCAATCTATTGTAAACGCTCCTTTATCTTACGCAACTATTTGATATACAAGACCTTAAGGAATCTTCGCGAAATACCATCGAAACCGTAGGGACGTGCTGTTATAGTCCTCTACTTTCTGCCATCTCCAGGTATTGTGTGCAGGAAAATTGGTTTTATGCCAATTGGACTAGGGCGATACACATTTAAATAACACTAATATCTCGCATTACATAATTTTAAACCCGTCATTAATACTTTTCAATGCGGAGCGTAGTAAACTTTTTATTGCATTCGACTTACTGGGGTATCACGCGTGACGACATAATTGTCTCCGAAAGTTGGATTTAAACCCTGATTATTTACTACACGTGATTGAAATAGGTAAAAACTTTGGTAATCATGCAGAAAAAATTCTTCTTTCCCTAGTGAATGTCAGTTTATTTCTTAAATAATACATAAATGTTGTTAATTTTAACGCTATTAAATGATTTTACCTCAGACGTTTCGTGTTATTCAATAAGAATATTGGAAAATTTATCATCACCATCAAATCTTCCAAGTTTCCTGGTTAAGTTTATGAAATAAAACAAAAATAGGAGAGTTAAATTCTATAAAATTGCGTGAGTATATTTTGCAATACAGTTTATTTTCCTTGTTTAGCCTTTCATAATCTTTCCTTTTGTATGTAATTTCGAAAAGAAAGAGTTAAATTATTCCTACTTTATCGTAAAATTCGTACACGTACTGTACACTACCATAATACATTTGCCAGTGTTGTAAGGGATAATGCAAATAAATGTATGAATGATTCGAATGGAGTTAGTGATTAGAGAACCCGGTGCCATACGCGAGTACCCGCATTGATTGTGTTAGAAATGGGCATAAAAAATGGAAACAAACCTTTACACCCAAATGGAAATCATTAAAATCATTTATTTACGCCCACTCTATTCATATTTCTCACTCGGCAATAGGATACAAGACAATATCAATCTCGAAATATTACTTACTATAAATGGATGTAAGACGGTCTTGTCATCTTACCTCAAATATTTCATTTTGATCATTTCCTAAAAGCGGTATATTAATATTATATCATATACCCCCGGAGGCATCACTATTTATTGATTTGAAAAACGATTGCACTCTTTCCTAGCTGACGTCGTAACAACAATGGCTTCCATCATCATCTTTCACTTCTTCACCAGATGGATACCGGGCTCCATCTTGCCTTTCTAACTACTGTATTTTCAAATATTTGGCAGTTTCGCAGGTAAATAAGTAAAGTTTGCTCGACTCCTCTTAAGAATCGCGTTGTTTATAGAATAAATAACTCGAAACGTCATTCGGAAATCCTGAAGAATTAAGCTTAGAGAACGTATCAAAGCGGCATTTTTTTGCCACGATTCTTCGGGGATTTATCGTTAAGAAAACAGCAATAACAACTTTATATTTTTCGCATATCGGGCTCCGAGAAGATGAAAAAATAGCGCTGTCGTAAATTATCGTGGGTAAAGTTAAGTTTTCTTCGTTAATTTAAGAGGTTTAATCGAAATTTCAACTTGTGTTTAGTATCGAACAAGTACGAAAATTGAATTTTCCTTTCGGTAATTCGATTGTCGACCCACTCTAATGTATCTACGAAAGGAATCTCGACACTCTTACTTAAAATAATTGATTTTTACCGCTCTTAATCATTACAAAAAAGCCTTAAGTACTTGACAATGGCAACAACAGAATGAATATTTTATAAGCAATGTTTATACAATTAATTCATTTGGAGTGCGGGTTGGAGCATTCAATCCATATGTCTATCATTTAGACACGACGCACGATCATAATGAAATGAAGACCATCGAATTGCCGCCTTTAATGCGAATTTCTATCGCATAGTATCATTAATCGTTACTCTAATGTTGTATGGACACGATAATGGATGAGGTTTAACTGCGACTATCCCGAATTATCAATAGTTTTCTATTATCCACGCATGATTTCGACTTTTTCCCATATTTCCATTGTTACGGCTTTGGAATATCCGAGTCATTAAAGTAGGCAACGTTTCCTTCTTTTTATTACTTCGTCTACTTCCGACATGGATTAAACAGGTAAGGAAATCTAAGTTTTGCTGGTTTGAACCTCTAATAAGCGAATCCTCTACTGGCTAAAGGGGCTACTTCCGTCCCTTTCCGTCTCTCCTTCAAATATATTCTACGTTGGCTAAACCGTTTCCTTCAATCGATGCTGATTTCGTGTGATGAACTGATATTTTGTATACGTAGGGCTGCCCAGAAATCTAGAGCGAAATATACATTGGGGGTCCTATAGTAAATTAAATTGTCATATTAAAGTAAACATTGTATAGGGTTTTACTTCCTCGGTGCCCGGGGTCCCCTTTCTTAGCCGTTTTAAATGCAGATTTAGATAGGATTTTATCATCCGAAGCGATTCTCGAGTGCTTTAACACGGCGATTGAGTTAATCCCGGCCAGTGTTTAAGCTTCCGCGTATCACACGAACAATTAAACCTGGAAGCGATTGATGACCACAAATCTTACACACTTAAGCAAACACCGAAATTAACCGTAACAAAATGACATTGAAATCTTTTACGTAAACGATGCTTGGCAATAATGGCATTAATTTCAAATGGCTGTAATAATTGTTATCGAGAAGAGATAAACAATGTTGTATCCGAGTAGAAATGCTGCGAATTGTCGGGTCTTTGATTTGCGATCCATGGCTTTTGTCGTGGCGAGATCGCATTGAATGAGGAACCGGAATCGCGAGAAGGAGCGGAATGTAGTTTTAGTTTGTAAAAAACCGGTATAACAAAAACATTCTTTAACAACCAACCGGTATAACCAAGGCCTATAAAGAGATTTTTTCGCCCTTTGCAATACGCTTAGAATCAATCTCATCAACTTCTTACAAGGCGTTTTTTGCGGCAAAAGTTTAAATACTCTTAAAATAACTGGAAATCATCTTAGTTTAACATTTAAAATTATAATTTAATCATTTTTGAAAAATCCGAAGGGACTCGACGTTTTTTCACAAAGGATCGTAAGTCGAGTTGGCAATTTATACAAAATAATTAATACTATTTATCTTCCTAAATGTAAACAAGTTAAATTATTCATATTTAATTGAGTTTCTAGTTTATCCATTATTATGATCCAGTTAGTTTCATGTTTATTAATGATACGACTCGATTATGTTTTCCTCCTTTAAATCTCCGTTAAGGATGGATTTATTTGAATATTTTCCAGATTGAGGAATGCGAAACTTATCATTTTAAAAAGATCTCATTATACGCCGAGAGGGGTTAAGTTTTGCGTTACAATTTGGGTAGGCGCACGAGGTATGTGGCCACTTTTTTCTTTAGTAGTGTCGAAAAATACCTTACTTTATTCGATTTAAGCTTATTATAAAGATAAATTTAATGCATCAACGTACTGGACGGATGCTTTTAAAGAAATATTTAATAATAATCTATTTACGATCCAATTTTCTTGGCAATCGTCATCGTTTCTGCCAATCCGCACGCCGATGAATAGAAAAAAACACGTTCAAATATTGTAAAATGTAAGTAAAGAAAAGCAAAATGAAATCTTTGAATAGTAGGCTGTATTTTCATTCATTTACATCTAGATTATTCTTTTCATTTTAAATGTCTTTAATTAAGACAGGTAAATTTTATCAATACATAAAATTGGCTTTTATGATTAAGAAAATTGTAAACGTTTCTAAGATTAGTCTTTTCCGACGTTTCTTTCGCTGGCTGCTGCTCTTTTATTACGTTAACATGGCCGGGAACCTCCGAGGGATCGCGCTCTACCTGTTGGTAAACTTAACATATGTAAAATACAAAGGCACACTTGTCAACGCCAAAATGATAAACATTGGACTAATTAAGTTTTTTACATGTTTTATGCCCGTTAATACGAGGAAATGGTGTCTCGACCTATTTTTGATTATTAATTTTTAAATATCTCAATTTTTTTCTATTTCTGCAATTGCAAAGATTAAAATTATTTCGAATAAAGGTTGAGAAATAAAAATGTTGCCATATAAGTATTAAATATAATTTACAAATTTGAGATTACGTATAGAATTTTTATAAAGTTGAAAGAAAAAAATATCATTAAAATGTAAGCCAAGAAAGACCTAACGTATCGAATTTTTCTTTTATTTTTAAGGCTTACTTTCTATAATATATATATAAAAAAGGGTATACATGGCGTATAGATTTTTATATAGACCTAAATTTGACAGTTGGGCTATTATCGAGTAATGAACTTACGTCATCATTAACGTCACTAATTTAGATTAAGAAGGACATTGACCAGGCTTCTTCGACTCCATTTACGACCCCCATTTACGTGTAATTACGTAACCAACGTCTTCAGAATTTAACAGGAAATTTAAAAAATGCAAAAAATTCTTTCTTAACTCGATTTTCGAATTGCATTTTCACCGTGACACCAACATACTTAAGCCAGGTACCGTTGGAATTTTGCTGCTTTCCTCGTCAAAATGTCACAAGACTTTTTATTTATTTTTTGCAATTTATCTAACAGTATGTAAAGATTATAAAATAGCTTATTTTATAGATAAATTACTCTCATGTATGGATTTAAAGCGGATAAAATTATTAAAACGTTATTATTTTTTATTATTATTTCTTCAGAACACGATACTTCAGTCCATTACGTGTATCAAAGTTCAAATCACGTTCGGGAACTGCAATCAGTCACCGAGTTGTAAGAGAAAAGAAGAAGAAGGTCTTCGAATTGCTTCAAACGAAAAGCAATTTGTCAAAATACGAACGTTTCATAAAGCAAAAAGTAGAAAAAAGGAGTTTTGGGGCAGTAAGAAGAGAGCCAACTTCACTCATCCCGAAGAATCTGTCTGTTTTGCCTTTACAAACGACAATTGCTCGGGTTTGGTCACGTTTTTTACACAAAAGCCGAACTATAGATTCCTGTCATCGATGTAGACGTTAAAGTCTATCAATTGCGGCTAAGATGGCGACAAACTCATCTATTGTAGCGTGGCCAACATCTAGGTCGGCGGAGTGCTTAAAATCCCAACACATAAAAAAGTATTCCGTCTCCATGTGTATACACGCTGGAAATTTTATCCGAAACTCGGCCGTAGCTAGTATAGCACGCGCAGCATGAGACTGCATTTCGAGCACGTGACACTGCATATATTTTACTCACCATCACTATAAAAACGTTTTTATTTCGAAGGAAATAAATGCGCCGTAAAATGGAAAAAACATTTTTTTCAAATAAAAAGTATCCACCAATTATTTAAATGAACTATTAACGTTTATAGTTTTAGGGTCAATGTTAATGGAGAATTATAATTACAATTAAAAGACATTTAAAAAAAATAGGATAAATTGGTGGGGAATTCCGCGTGTCGGTGCCCGAACCGAAAGAATGATGAGGAAAACTGGTTAATGCTGCCGGTGAGTTGTAGGCCTTTAGCTAGAGATAAAGCAAATGGACGATAACGGCAAAGAATGCGAGAAGAAGAAGAGAAAAAGGGTATTACATCTAACCAAAGAAGTCTAGTAATGTCTCTTATATTAAAGATAGCAAAACCGTAGAGAAAGATGACGATAACGCACGCCCGCATCTCTAATAATTTCATTAATGAAAGGCCGTTCTATTATGGAAAATTGCGTCATAAAAAACTATTTAGCCCGAAAAACTAAAGAAAGTTTAAGGCGAGAACGCTCTTCTTAATCTACGCACCCTCATCCTTCGATAATGTAGCAGTTTCTTCTATGGTTATCTAATCATTTAAAACGGTCGAAGCTTAAGGGGGAAAACGATATTAAGCGTAATTTTAAACATTTCTATCGATAAAGTATAACCAGGTTACCTCATTGTAAGACTTTTAAGGCGTTAAAATAATAAAGTAAATTATGTAGAAGAAACGCGTGTACGTTCATTGGGCCAGAGACTGTGACTTAAAAATCAGGTTATAGTTAAATATATTTGTTAAAAAACACAAATTGTATATTATTAATACCCTAATTAAAGCGGGAGAATTTTTAAAGGAACATTTTTTGGACACGGATTCCGCCAGAGGGAAAAAGTTGCGTGTGTTTGGAAATGGAACTTAGTGACAGTTGTCACACGACGTGTTCGTCAATGGTCCGGGCGACAGATTGGTTTCTCCTTCCAATGCCAGTCGATATTTAATAACGTAACGGGCAAAGAATTAAAATTTCGTCTATTTATAACGCGCATCGATAGTTTAAAAAATGTATTGAGAATATTTGTAGCTGATAATTATTTAATCCACCGGCAATTGCGCTTTTTTCGTCCCGTTTAACGGTTAAATCGATATTTTATAAAAATCCTCATCAAACTTTTACTACATAAAAAGAAAAGTTTGACAAATATAACCTAAATAAAAGCAATTTTCTTTCTTGACTTATTTTACACTTGTTCCTTGTGTTCTTAAGAAGGTTGTCGAAAGAATTACAATGTTATCTGTGCAAGCCCACACGCTACAAGATTCGTCCCGCAACTTCTAACCTTTCCGCTCGTCCGACGTCATTATGTCTACCGGACTTAATAATCGATAATCGGTGCGCGAGGTCAGACAAGGTCGGGAGTCGTCGGATAAATATTTAAACGTACAAGTTAATTAAGTTTTGCATTTTTAATTCGTCATTAACTTTAAGACTTTTTGGACTAACGAGAAATTTTGTATCCGGTATCGGGTGGTCGATCAATCGAACCGTCTGAGAAGTGACGAGCGTTACGAGTGTCAGAAGAGACACGAAACGAAAAAAGGAGGAGAAGAAGAGCTTAAATTGGCTTCGTTGGCTCCTTTCTACGCTTTCTTGTCAAATACTCGATGGCAGTTAGTTCGATGGATTGGAGTAGACTCGGCTTACAAATGCCATTTTCTTCGCCTTTATTCCTACTGTTTAACCGGGAAACCTCTTAATTATTCCATTTTTATCCTCCACCGCAAATCAAAGTAGGCACGTTCCGTCCCGATTTAATACTCTCGTTATTCGTCTACCTGGTCTTGTTTTCGTAATTTCAATTTTTATAACCTACATTTTTTATATAAATCGTAATTTATAAAATGGCATTCTCTACCCGGCGCGTGTTTAATATATAGGACCATTAAATTAACGCAAGGCAGCCCGGCCAACTACGGCCATCCTTCGAATCCTTGGAATCCAGCCATTTTTTCCACAGGCCGCGGCGATTATTGGGTATATAATGCAATAAATCGACAACGCGTTACGGAACCTTCCGTAACCCGTGCTTATAGAAAAACGCGGATATCTCTTGTTTTCTTCCAAACTTCCGGTAGAAAGATGTGCTAGTGCATGCGCTAAACGTAATTATCCGGCTTACAATGTACAAATTAATATTCGAAACTACGTAACCATTTTCAAGTACGGAATAGGAAGGCGCGTAAGCTTAACAAGCCTGACATTTTTGTGCGTGTATCATTATTTATGTTATTTAAGTCTAGCCCTGTAAAAATGTATAGCGACGAATACGATATACGATTACGATGAAAATTATTCTGATACACTTAGTCTTCAATATGTGTATTCGAGTGCGTTGGAAGTGTCCGACCGTTTAAAATTGGTGGAAACTTTTATATCGCCCACGCGACGTACGACAATGTGTGATAAGAAAAGTTGGATAAAATAGGGAAAGGAGATTCAGAAGAGTGGTTTGTGGTTGCAACAAAGTCGGCGTGGACTGTGCCTACCAAGTTAATACAATGTAAACCGGGAGATATTCGAGTACGCTTTCTTGTAGACTTAACCGGTGACAACCTGTCTAAATATATCAGTCGAGTAAACATTATCTTCCTCATGGTGGAGGATTAAAACTACACGCCTACGAGCGAATTTTCATTTTTGATGGGATAAATTCTGCCAGACAATTCGAGTTTTATTATTTTCTGAAACTAAATAATCATTTTCATTAGATTATTAGGAAATTCTCTAATTAAATATTTACGAATTTTATCTTAATTTAGTCCATTGGTACCGTTTAATTAACGTAAAGAGTTTCGTTATCGCGTACGGTGGGGGATTTACTTATGTAGCCCAAGGGCGCCGACAGTAGTGGAGACCCTGCGGCGACTAACGCTAATATAACGTTTCCTACTTTATAAATATATCATCCTGTATTTCGTCTCTGTCTTTTTTATTATTTCCACATCCGGCTCTTCGTGTGATTTGAAATGTAAGAAAATACGTAAATGTCTCTTCGGTAGGGCTATCGGATTCGCATTTATGTAGTCTCCGTATATCTAGGCGATTATCGGAATTTTCATAAAAGAAACGTCTTATATTATTGCCATTTTAGCTTCCGAAAGCTTATTGTTTACGTTGTAATTTCATTTCATTCATCGAAATACCTTCTCGTTTGTCCTTCCTCCATTTTGGAAATCGCTGGTGGTTCCATCTGTCGAGAATTTTCTATACAGTATTTGGCCTTCGATCGATAGGGTTAATTATACAGATGTCGAGTATTATTGCAACTATAAGGTAAGAATACTTTAGAAAGTAGGTCTTACATAGCAGTTAAAGACAGAAATAGGATCCAGTAGCAGTTATCGGCCAGTTGCGTTTGAGGTAATTGGCTACGATGACAAACGACGATGACAATAAGATCCAAAACTATAATATATCACATCTATCTAGACCAGGTCTACTTTTATGACGTTTTGATGAACAAGAGCGAATCACCACTTTTTCTTAGCTAACACCAGGCGTTACGCCATGTTTAACACCAGTGACACTCTGGAAACCGAGACGATTTTTTTCATCCCTAATTAAATCTACGTAAATCTTGTTTAGGTAGGACTACGATAAAATTCGATTTGCTGCCGGGACACGACAGAAACAGAACAAACTCGGTGTTTTTTTTCAAGGAATTGACACTACTGGCACTCTTGTTTCTCGACGGTAAAGAACAGTGTTAATTCCTTCCTCCGGGTGTTCAAAATATATCTAGTTGTTAATAAATTCGATCGTACGTAGAAGGTAAGGGATTAACAATGCTATCTTCCGCCATTTTCTTCCCGTACTTTGATAATGAATAAATAAACGAGTTAAACAAACTGCAACCTATATCCAGTAAAATTTCCTTATAAATAATTCAGAAACAGCAGAAACGTTTATCTTTTCATATTTTTCTTCAAACACATAACGGTAGTGCTACATTAAGCTCTCTATTAATAGAAAAACACCGAGCTTTTTTGGTACCACCAGAGACACACGTGTCGTACTGTCATGTGTATGTGTCAGGCGGTAACAATCAGTCACGTTCTTTGTTATAAGAAACTCATAGAATACGTGTTTTTCTAAGAAATCTTTCTCCGTATGTCTGACCTGACGAATTCCAAAACATCTACAGTTGTTCGTCAAAATTATATACGCGTTATAATACGAACGATTTAAAAAATAATAATCTGCATAAGATAAATGGGTAGTTTGTTTGATCGGGTGTTAAATTATTTAAGTTGT